GGGGCGCCAAGCAGGGGGGTGAGGGAAGGTGCTGTGGGACCAACCCAGCAGCACCCCAGCTGCTCTGCCTCACCGCTTCCCCAAGTCACCATTGCTGCTTGCACGGGGCTCCCCCCACCTCCCTGCAAAACAGCGGAGGAGTCGCCCCATGCCGCACCGTTCCCTGCCAACCCCCCACCCCAAACCCGTCACAGCCCCCCTTCCGGAGTACCTCCTGATACTCCGGCATATCCAATAATCCAGCACCCCCTGGTTCCCAAAGGTGCCAGATTATCGGAAGTCTACTGTAGTTGTTTTAAATGAATTTCCAAGACAGTAGTCTATTTATTAATCACCTAGGCTACGTCTACACTGGCATGATTTTCCGGAAATGCTTTTAACGGAAAAGTTTTCCATTAAAAGCATTTTCGGAAAAGAGCATCTAGATGGGCACGGACGCTTTTTCGCAAAAGCACTTTTTGTGGAAAAGCATCCGTGCCAATCTAGATGTGGTTTTGCGCAAAATAGCCCCGATCGCCATTTTAGCCATCGGGGCTTTTTTGCGCAAAACAGTACTGTGCTGTCTACACTGGCCCTCTTGCGCAAATGATTTGCGCAAGAGGGCTTTTGCCCGAACAGGAGCAGCACAGTATTTCCGTAAGAACACTGACGATCTTACATGAGATCGTCAGTGTTCTTGCAGAAATTCAAGCAGCCAGTGTAGACAGCTGGCAAGCTTTTCCGCAAAAGCAGATGATTTTGCGGAAAAACTTGGCAGTCTAGACACAGCCCTAATGAACAGATTGAGCTTCCAAAAGAGAAGACCCTGAAAAGTTCTGTTCATTAATTTCTTTGGGCCAAGCATTACCTTCATATCTTATCTCTTCCATCAAATGGAAGCATCACTTTGGGACAAATTTGCAAATGTTCTATATATTTTTGCACTTAAAAGACGTGTATAAAGTAAAATGTTTATTTGCAGCTAGCGAGTCTTTACTTCTACAAAAAAACAACTTTCCTTTTTTGAGAATCTTTGGAGATTATAGAGGTTATGGACTCAAATATATGGAAACAGAGAGTCATGTTAATTTGGGGGCAAAACTATATATCACTAGAAAATGAAGAAATGATAATTCATCAATGGCTTATCACAACATAGCCAATTTGGGGTATAATTTCACCTTGTTTAATAGAACGTCTATTCTGAATGCTACCAGAATAGATTTATGCTTACTTGGCCCACTTCTGTATAAACTGAGGTAAAATCGTGGGGGAGCACGACGATCTTCAGATATTTGTACAATAGACTTATAGTTCTACAGAGCTGAGAGATTTTACTTATCTAGGATCCTACAATTAATTCTAAAAACATTATGGGAATCACAATACTGCAAATTTCAAATAGTTTAATATTTAAGCTATTTAATGAACTCAACTCACCTTTATTTTATTCTTTGACAAACACATTAAAAAGCCCTCAATTATTTGTATTATGATCAAAACTCTACTTCTGATTTATATTATATACCGCTTGGGGTAATTTGTATTAGGGATGTTAAAATGTGTTTATTCAAGTAAAGGAGTAATCAGTTACATGTGCGAGGCAGGGGGAGGGCAGTCAGCTCCCTGGGAAATGTTGCATGTGGGCAGATGGCTTAAAAACTGGCTCCCTACGCATACTAGCTCCTGCCTGCCCCTTTTCCACACTGCTGCCTTTGATACAGAGACAGCAGTAGGCACTAGCTCCCATCTGCCCCTTCGTGCTGCTGTGTGTACCAGCTCCTGCCTTCCCCCAGCCCAACGATGCTGCCTCTGATACAGAAGCAGCAGCACAAGGGGTGGGGACCAACATGTATCTGTGCACATAAACCAATGAGCCCTGGATCATAGGTTAACCATG